AACGCCCCCCTGGTCACGGCCGACAAATGGTCATCCAGTGCCAGCCGCGAATCCAGGAGGACTCCCAAGTTGTGCGCCCTCTCCGAGGGGGCCAAAGTTTCGCCCCCTATAGTCAGCGATGGTGTCAGCTGACTATGCCGAGGCGCTGGCAACCACAGCCACTCGGTCTTGGAAGGGTTGAGCCTGAGTCTGTTCCTCCACTCGGTCTTGGAAGGGTTGAGCCTGAGTCTGTGAAGAGCAAAGGTCTTTGTGGATCCAACGCTCAGTAGAATTCTCCAAGACAATTTTGGGCTTATGCGACTTGCAATTCTAACTTTTAATCTGCTCTTTTATTTGGCCAGGATGAGAGAAGAAAAGATAAGGCAGCAGAGACAGTTGCAGGAGGAGAGGCTGCAGCGGGCCCTGGCAAGAGCACAAGCTGATGTTAAGAAGAAGGTATGTTGAATATCTCCTGAGCATCTGCTGTTGCATCTTTTTGTGATTTCAGTAGCTCAGACTATTTTATCAATTCTCCCATCCAAAGCCTTTTGTAACTCTAGTTCAGAACGGTTTATACATGAGGCACCAATAAAGGAGAATATTTGCAGCTCAGGGTTGAAATGATGGGTCCTTGGTGCCCTCTGAGCTTGTTTTCCTGCAGATGTTTCATTAACCAAACTAGGTAACATTACTAGCACTGATATTACCTAGTTTGGGCAATGAAATGTCTGCAAGAAAGCAAGAAAACTCAGGGAGCACCAAAGACGCTTCATGCCTACACATGAACAAGAATAAGGTCTGACTGGATTCAGTATCTACATTTGTGCCTTGTTTCTAAGACCAAAGATTGCAAATCCAAAGGGATTTTTGATTAGTGATATTTCTTGCTATAAAGTGAAAACCTAGCTCAGGCTTTCCCCTTTCTACATTTTACTATTACATATAATGAAAATAGTAAGGACTACTACTACTACTACTACTACTACTACTACTACTACTACTAATAATAATAATAATAATAATAATAGCAACCGTGGTGGTCCAATAGTTAGAATGCAGTATTGCAGGCTAACTCTGCTCACTGCCAGGTGTTCGATCCTGACGGGCTCAAGGTTAACTCGGACTTCCATCCCTCATTGATAAAAATGAGGAGCCAATATTGGTGGGGGCAATATTGAGTTGAGGAAGTTGTTCATTTTCTGAATCAATGCATGAGATTGACCACAATGGACTAAAAGAAAACCAATCCTTATAAATGGAGATAATCTTAAAACAGAGATGCCTTAGTGGAAGAAAATAAAAATTTGAATAGTAATTCAGCTGATTTTGGATAAGATCATCTTTCTCTGAAGAATCCGTTTTTCTAGCCAGTTAGTACATATGCCAACTGGGTCAGCTCCTAACAAAGTTAGAAAAAGACCACAATAATGACACATTTTAGTTACATGTAAGTTAGGTAACTGCAATGTGCTCTGCATGGAATTATCCTCTGGATCTTTGAGAAAATTAAGAGCTGCCATAACAGAGAACAGAGGAATCTAGCACATTTACAAGTAGAACCATGTCTGCGTTGCTTATCAGGCTCTCTCCAGGCACAATTTGAAGCATTTATTACCTTTAAAATTCTAAATGGCTTAGATCCAGAAGGCAGTGTCCGTGGACCAGTACCGAGCCATGGCATGCCAGCAACCAGTCTGCATAAACAAGGAAAGCCCCATCTACAGGATGCAGGCAGCACACAAAACCACGCCCCTTCCGATCCATGGAAAAACCTCTCCCCATGTAACCAGTCCCTGGTGCCAAAAAGGTTGGGGACCTTTGCCTTAAGGCATGGGTATCAAACTCGATCACATTACGTGACGTATTGTGACGTTTTTTGCCTTTGCAGAGCCGGGGTGGGCGTGGCCTGCATGTAATGCATCTGGCCCGTGGGCCGCCAGTTTGACAACTCTGCCTATGTAAGGGTTGCCTATATAAGGCTTCTGGTGATTTTCAACACCACTACTATACCAAAAGTGTGATTGGTAATGCAAATAAATAAATTGGTTGTTGCTCAGCAAAAGAACATATTAGAGCACAGGTGTCAAACTCGCCGTGTCACATGACATGTCACGACATATCACAACATTTTTCCGCATTGCTGGAGCTGGGGTGGGTGCGGCCTCCGCATGATACAACTGCCTGCGGCATGGCAGTTTGACACCCCTGTATTAGAGGATACGTGAGAATTGTAGAACTCCAGTAACTTGGGAACCCAGGTTGGCACTTAACCGTGATTACAATTTCATTTTACAGGAAGCGATAAACCTTTTTTGTTTTTACTACCTCATAATTTATCCCACCGTTTCAATGCTTTGTACTGACCTTAACTACTGCTAGCCTCTCTCAGTGATGCAGAAATACCAGAAAGGCAGAATTCCTTATGTATAAAAATAATGCACATCTATCAAGCAGCATCAAGACAGTAGCGCTGATAGGATGCTATCCTAGAGGTGCGACACAAGTTTCATTGTTTATTCCAGCAATGGCAGAATAATACTGCCTGGTTATAGATAAAGAGATAGAACTTTATATCTACACAAAATATCAGTTCTAACATTTTACCAGATATTTTACTTTCCAAATTGAACATTTTGAGATAATTCTCTAGGGATTTTGTTGTTGTTCACACATGCCTTCCATAACTCATGAGGTTACGTACTGAACCTAACTATGATTTGAGAATTAGAAATCACAAATCATAGAGAATTTTTGAGTCATTGTACATTAAATCAGGCACTTGAATGAAGTGGTAGAGAAATTATTACTGGTGTTCTACCTAAGTTTTAGTTTACTGAATAGTAAACGCAACTGTAATTATTTTTATTGTTAAGGAGTATCTTCTGCCAAGAAAGACAGGTAAAAATAGTTCCAAATTTTTAAATAAGTATTGAATATTCCTTGCTGGAAGAAGCCATCTTTCTTCCTGTTATACTCATATTGAATGAAATAATGACAGAAGGGAAGAAGCATAGTTAGAAACTTCTTTGTGGAAGGAAGAAATAAAACCGTGCCCAGGTAAAAAAAAGGTGGTCAGGAGAAGTTGGCCCTGCTTTGACCGATATACACTTAGCCCAAAATGAATTTATTTGCATTATTTCAGTATAAAATGTGCAGAGTTGTTCTTAAGTGTCCCTGTGATCATTTTTTAGACTGGCCGAAGATTAATTTTTCGTTCTGAGCCTCCTGCTTTCAAGGAGAAAGAAGATGAGGATCAGGGGCTGATCGATAAAGAAAAAGAAGAGCTGCTCTATTACTTTACTTAGCAGTCGAAAGCTACAAGACATTATGAAGCATACTGCAAATTACAATCTTAACAAGAAAATGTTTCAACAGATAACTCTGCAAATTTGGGGAGAAAGCTACTCTATCCTAAGTATAGCGACATACAATAGATCAAAATATAGACGACATCTTTTCATAGTTGTAAATCAGAAATCCAAATGTTGCTCAATTTCTTTTGTCAATAAATGAAAACTTAGTGATAGAAAACAATGTCTACCAAAGTGACCAAAGATCAGACTAAAGTCTTGCAGCTAGGAAAATAGATATATCAGTGACAAATATGATTTTTTTTTAAAAAAAATTCAATCTTCAATATCAGGTTCAATTTTTTTTGTAATTAAGCAGATTCTATGGATATCACAAAAATAAAAGTTGAAATGAAGAAAATGGACATTAATTAATTTTATTAGTCCTTTTAACTCCGTGATTATAAATATCCATTGCCAGCAATGGACTTTGCCAGAATAAATCTAATGCTTGCTCTCAAGCAATTAGGAATTTACAATGAGTTAAAACTGAGTGGTATATAAACTTCATAAAAGAACACATTTGTCTGTCCAAGAGAAGCAATTACTTATTTTTCAATAAGCAAAGACTCCGTAAAACAGAAGCACCACAACAAATGATACAATTCACATTCTTACCAAGTTAGGGATCCTCTTTGAGTTAAAAAGAATTGAGTGGTCTGCCCCATACTTAGTAGGAATGGAGGCCACATAAAATGTTTTTTTTTACTCAAAGAAAAGGAATAAGGAATGAACAGGCTTCTTGTGGTCCACCTATTTAATCTAAATCTACCTGTGTGTCTTTATAACAGACAGGTGTGCTTGCATTCCAGTTTACAGAGGATCACAATCACAGTAAGTGTGTGAACTATTCCACTGAGTTTTTGAAGTGACAATTGTTGAGGACAAAATGCCCCCATTTATCTTGAAAACTGAACCTTGGTGATAGAAAGAAAAGACAAGAGGTTTACAAATAAGCAATTTCTTCACTTTTTCCACTGAGAGGTTTTATATCAGAAATAAAAATAATTTGTTTTGATAATGTAAATGTATAGTAATAGGTCAAGATAGTCAGGTAAATGTTTTACAGTCAATGAAAAATACCCGCCCAAGATTTTCTTTTTTCTAAAAAAAACAAAAAAACATCCACAAATCAAAATCTGAATTAATGTAATCTGTATAAAATGCTTCTAAACTACATTCTTCTGAAAATGAAGTTCAAAAGGCACAGGCATCAATTAGTATATTTCTATTTATGGGTAAGTCTTCTTAATTTGGAATAATCTACTGTGAATAATCCAAGACAGAATTTATCCATGGTTTAATAACACAGTAGAAAATAACATTTCCAAAGCCATTCCAGACATAATATCCTCCTGGCATATTGTATAAGGGAGACCAGGCCCAAGGACCTCCCTTCGGATTTCAATAGGTCTAGGAAATATATTTCCTAAGGCTCCTGACTTCCAAAACAGAGATGGCCACATGATGCACAGTGAACAGTATAAGGTCCAGAGAAGGCTGTTTATCAGTCTTCCTCTTTTGTCAGTGCTGCTAGAAGATGTTGCAGAGGTAATAGGGCAAGGCTAGTTTTACTTAAGCACGAGTTCCAAGAATACAAATTTAGAATGTGATGGAAGAAGGGTCAATTTAGAGAAATTTGTTGCTCGCTCATATATTCAAAGCAATTAACCTTTCATTTTCTCCTAACTGTAAATAAATAAGCAAAATTCGAACGTGTTCCTTTGTGGGATATCTTTGTATAAAAAACAACAATGCTCACACAACTTTTTTTAACTAAGCCGTACATATGTATAATTTTAATGCCATGTGGCATGTCATGAATAAAATGCTTTAAGTTCCAGACTTAAATTCTATTGTAAAACACTGACATCTTATTTATTTCTCTGCTTAGCTGAAGTCTTAGTATTTCTTCTTAAAAGTCTGTATGAATTAATTCTATTATCTTATAATAAAAGATAGGTATTTTAAAAACATATAAAGATGTATTTTTTCGTTTCGGTCAAGATGTTACTTTTATATGCTACTGACACTAGCTGGAAGCTCTTTCTGCAGCCAGATAGTCTGTATGTAAATAGTAGGCAGACCGTCATTTCAACATTAATTTAGGAGTAAGTTCTACTGAAATCAGCAAAACCTATTTTTGACCAAAAATGCACCATGATGGGTATATGTAATAAAGGTGACTTTGTACAAATTGGCAATACTGTTTTATATTACTGTAAACATAACCAAAGTGGTAAGAAATAACATGTGCTAGGCAGCTTTCTCACGTTCCGTGTAAAATGCTAAATTAGAGATAGCAAGAGCAAGAAATCATATTGCTCTACTAATTCAACCTTTACTATCCCTGAGTATGGTACTATTTTTATGCTCTTATCTCTTTAAAATGTCAGTTTGCAAAAATAAATTGGCCTTCCTGCTTATTCCTTCATTTTAACCCCAAATTTAATTCATTTCAAGAAAAAAGTGCTAAGCTTAATTATCTACTATTTTGAGAATTGTTCTTAATTCTTAATTATTCTTAAAATCAATGTGGGATATCACCACTGCACGTTCGCTCTAATGCAGGACTCTAATTCCCCCATATGTTCCTTTTCCTGACTCTAAGATAGAACATACCAAGATCTCAAATTGCCTTATCAAATAAAATTTACTGAACAAGTTTTCTGTTGCACGATAACCATCAAGCATCCCAGCACTGGTGAGCATGCTTCCATTGTTTACTTTTTCCTTTCAAAGCAGGAACAGACTCTTATTTCTCAGGATGCTTCTGTGTCTGAAAGTTCCAATGCTTCTATCTCCAACGAAATCATTCAAGGTCTTGTAGATTAATGGTGCTTCCTGTAAACTGGGAATTATCAGAATTGGCATCTTCTTCAGCAGAATTGTGTGGCTCCTGTTTAATTCAAGATGTTAAAGAAAGGTTCAGAACTTCACAATTTGCAATTGATCAACTACACTCCTTAGATTACAAAAACACTGCACTCTTTAAAATCTATTAACTTCATGTTTACAGGAATGAACTACTCATATTTCTCAACAGTTAAAATCCTCACTAAAAAGTCTGCAACATGTTTCTATTACTTTCTTCTCCTTTACATTACACTGTAAAAATTAAAAGACACAACCAAACACAGAAGGCACCTTATTGTAAACTTAAAAGTAGTGGTTAATGTTACGATAGCGAATCAGCTGAAGCTGCATTTATCCAATGTTGCAACTCAAAAGTTTTGTACCTGAAGAATATGAACAGGTAAATCTACTGTCAGCTGAGAGTGTGAGGAGGAAGATTGAGAACTGAGCTGGAAGGGTAGATCTCCTTCTCCTGGAGAATCATCCTAACAACAAAGGAGACAAAATGAGTTTCTAACTACAAACAGCATTCTCCTATCCGAACAACCAACTGGTCACTTTACAAACATGTGGATATGCTTAGCAGCAGCAATATATAACTTCAATTAGGAGCCCTTTCACTGAGGCCAGAGCAACAAAAACATATCATTATCTAACATTGACTTAATGCACATATATTAATAAATCCTACTGCAATCAACTTCTTTCAGAAAGCAAAAATTGTCACCAGTTTTTGCTAAAGTAAGTCCATTCCAGAACTTCTCCATCTTTGTTTGCAGAATAAGCATACAGTCAATTTGATTTTAGCGTGGTCCGTTTTGGTGATACCCATCTATGGTGTCATATTTGAGATTGCCGGAAGAAAAAAGAAACTGGAGAACCAGTTTGGAGTAGTGATTAAAGTGCTTGACTAAAGATCAGAGGCCTAAGCCAGCTGCGTGACTTTGGGCCAGTTACTCTCTCACAGAACAAACCACCCCTAAGGGTGGTTGTTGTGAAGAAAATAAGAGCTGTTCCAAGTAATGTTGTCTCTAAAGCATTTTTTCTATTGCAAGTAGTCCTCACTTAACAGTCACAACTGAGACCAGTAATTCTGTCTCTAAAGTGACATGGTTGTTAAGCAAAACATCATGTGACTGTGACTTGTGGTTTTACTATTGGCTTCTCCATTGATTCCACTTCTCAGAAGCTGGTTGTGAAGCACCCGAACCTATGACCAGGGGGATGCTGGTCATAAGTGCAAAGACCAGTCATAAAGTTACTTTTTCAGTGGTTTTGTAACTTCGAACATCACTAAACAGAAAAGTTAAGTAAGGACTACCTGTATTCCAAATGCTATCTTAATTTCAACGTCAGCATTCTAGGAAGCTCCTATAATCTATATGACATTATTAGGTGCCATGTTAATAAGGCACTACAAGTCCTCATAGGTTTCTCTGCAACTGAAGACTCAGATCACTGGCTTGGTTTTGAATTTATATCATTCTATTGTTTGAGGACTTTGAGCCTTTTGACATCCATCTATTAGCAACGCTGGTACTCCATTTCATCTATAATTTTTCTTCTCTGAAGTAAAAAATCTGATGCTTCTCTGATGTAAAGTGACTCATTCCGCCCCCTTTAGGTTTGCTAGTTCCTATAATGTCAATACTGAATCTCAATATTTCTAATCTGACATGAAATATGTTTTGATTCATGGTTCTGACGTTCCATGCACCAGTAGTACATTTATTACTGCAGCAAGGTACCAGGGTGTATTTTTAGTAGCACATCTCTCTTTTCACAGGTGGAGAAATCCTAGAACCACATAGTTGAGGAGCACAAAATTGCACCTGAACTCATTTCCCCCCCTCCTCCCTGACTTTCTCAACTGCCAAATACATCTTTTTACATTTCTCTGTTATTTATTACCAGCATCCTTCAAAAAAATAATAATCTATATAAATAAAAATGTAAATGTTCGTTTGTTCAAAATCTTAAATCTCCGAAAGTTCTTCACTGATTGCTTTGAAATTTTGACACAACGTTGCATTCGAATACGCACGTGTTTTTATATACCTACTATTATATAGATGTCACACCTATGACACAAACGTGCACTTTCTCTTTTCTTTCTTTTCCATTTAACCAGACTGAGCCACAGCAACGCGTGGCCGGGTACAGCTAGTAGCAAATATTTATTTCTGAAGCAAAAGAATGGCAAAACTAATTTGGTCATGTGATTAAAAAAACCAGATGGAAATTTTAGACATGATTAAAAAAAATACTGGAAACTTAAAACTTTGCAATTATTTCCTAAGCAGAATTTGGGTTTGCTGCACCAAATCCTAACATGCTTGCTCTATCTAGCTATCTCCACAACATATTGTATCACAAATCCCAGCTACACGTTCCTGAAAAAAAAACCAGATTGTTTTCCATAAGTTAAATTGCAAATTGTTACCTGAAGCAACTGAATTTGAACAAACTGTGTGCCAGCCGAAGGGTCTCTTACTGTTAGATTTCCATTAGGCAAAATACTGTTGCATAACCGATTTCCAGGACTAAAACAGTTAACTTTATCATTTTTGCTTTTTCTTATACCAGAGTCAGTTGAGCCTGAAATAAAGAGGTGGCATTTGTAAATATAAAGCTGCATTCTGAAGCAAATTTCATTACATCTCTGAAAATACTTCTCCTAAACATCTCTGAATACAACATACGATCTTACCATGTAGGGAGCAGATTATTTAAACACTGTTATTATGCATATTAATAGTTGAGGCCGCATACAAACAGTCTATTCGCAAACAAAGGAGAAAGAGCAATTTTTACACCTATTCATTACCTAGTGACTTTCATCTTCTAAAAATTTACTCCTAAGAACTGGGAGATCTTTCAGAATAGGAGGAAAGATTATATATTCACTGGCCTTGGAAAGGAAGGATTATAAAAAAATTACTTAATCTAAAAATGCCAACAGTGCTGTTCCTGTCCTGTATAAAGATCTGAAACCTGACTGAGAAGGGTCCAGATCATCAATTTTAGCCAATATCCTGTGGAATTGAAATACCATCATCTTCTAAACCACCTTCCCTAAAAAGGAAAGGTGGAAGATTAGATAAAAATTGTCTACAATAGTGGGGCCAATAACCGTTTCTAGTGGAGAGGGTACACTATTGCCTCTTTAAAAGCTGTCATCACCCCCTCTCGTGAAGGATGAATTCACCATTGCTTGAGCCGCCCACATGAGCAGCCAGGAGGGATATGGATCTAGCCCACAGGTGATGGCATTTGTAGCCCAAAGGACCCTGCCCACTTCCTCAGGTCCAACATGGTAAAACTGTCCCCAATAACGGATTAAGCCTGTTCCCTGGGCATCTCCACAGGATTTGAACCATGCTTGGCATCCAACTGATCCAGATCCAGGCAATTTTATCTACCAGTTATGCACAAAGTTCCTCTTTTCAGCTCTCTAAAGTCTTCTGTGAACCACAGGGAGCAACAGGCCAAATGGGCACAATCCTATCCAAGGCTCTGGCCACCTCTCTATTCTAGGTAGCTGCCAGAACCCCCACAGGACTCGACTCCCTTGTAGTTGCTATAAAGAAGACTCAAAACTGCTCTTTAACTTCCTTTTTCCTTTGTTCATCTGTACAGTTTCTATCATTTTTTTCCTACTTTATATACTTTTCCTCGTTTTATCTTTTAATTATGTAAAAACTCTTGATAAAATTATATACACATATATAGAGGGAGAGAGAATATGAGTTATTCTGGGCAAGAATTCTAAATGCTGTAGCCTACAGCGCTCCCAACCCCCCCCCCCAATCATTTTGTAAATAATGGTTCAATATGTATTTCGGCAAGTAGTTTGTTGTGTGTGGATGTGTTCAATGGTGTTTTCTAGAGGTCTGGTGGGTACTTGATGCCGGTAGATAATGTGTGCTAATCAAGAATTGTTTGTTTCAACTTCAAAGGTCTAGTATATATTTATATGCTGCGGATGAAATGTATCTCACAAAACTAAAAAAAATTGTCCTGTACAGCCAAGATAAATATTCCACTAGGAGCTTCAAAATTGGGGTATCTGTGAGCCATCTGAAGGCTTGCTAATTCTGAATAAATGTGAATTTAGATCATATTGCAAATTTTAAGTTACAATTGCCACTCTATTTAACCTTGAGGGAGGGGGGGCTTTGAGTCCTAGCAGCCGCTTGGATAAGTTCCTGCAGTTTTCTTGGCAAGGTCTTTCGGAAGCGGTTTGTCCCTTGCCTCTTTTCAGGGCTGAGGAAGAGTGACTGGCACAAGGTCATCCAGCTGGCTTTGTGCGTAAGGCAGAACTAGAACTCAGGGTCTCCTGGTTTTTAGCCTGATGCCTTCACCACTACACCAAACTGACTCTCTATTCAACTTGGGAGTCTAAATATAATGATACTACCCTCAGATCCAGTTTGGTGTATACACAATATACTGTACTGAAATAATTAATACTCACCTATGTCATTCCCATTCCCATTTCCTTTTTGTTTTCTTTTTTTGGCAAGCTGAATAGCTCGATAATCTGTTCTCGCAGACCCACCACTCTCCTGATGACACAAAAGGGTTTGTTCACATCACTAAATCCAGGTAGACTGTTAGATGTGCAACTTTTCATTAGGAATGCCGTTTCCTCCTAATAACATGGATGAATCCCTAACAGCTTCCTTGCTTATGTTGAGTTCTGTGTAGCATCCTTCCGCTTAAGTCCGTAGGATTTTACTCTACTAGACGTTGCTGACTACAGAGCTGGTGCTCATCTTTGTTTCAAGGCCATTGAGCCAGCGCTGCCCGAAGAAACTTCCATGGTTATATGGCCAGCATGATGTCATGGAGCGCGGTTTTCTCCCCACCAAAGTGGTACCTATTTATCTACGTGCATTTGTATACTTTTGAACTGCTAGGTGGGCAGGAGCTAGGTCAGGGGTAGGCAACCTTGCCTCTTTTATGACTCGTGGACTTCAACTCCCAGAATTCCTGAGCCTCAGGAATTCTGGGAGTTGAAGTCCACGAGTCATAAAAGAGCCAAGGTTGCCTACACCTGAGCTAGGTGAAGATGGGTGCTCAACCTGTTGCACGGTGCTTGAGTCTCAAACGTGTGTCTTAACCACTGAGCCACTGCAACGCTCCGTCTATTATTAAGTCCATAGACAAAATAAATTTCCCTTCCTTTTGTAAAACACCAAAATCCGATATAAAACCTCACAGAACAGATTATTTTTCAGAGGGGGGCTGCAGAAAATAGAGACATTTTACTGTGCAAGCTATCTTTGCATGCAATCCTGTATATATGTCAGTATATATTTTAATAAGATAAGGCATGCAATCAAAGGCATATTTCAACAACATGATGGAGAAAACAAGGTCTAACAATGGCAAAACTTTTAAGAAACGTCTTTTTCTATAAGGGTGGATACAGTATACTTTTTTGTCACTCAATCCCAAAGCATACCTAGAGTTTTAAATATGAGGGCAATTCGGAAACAAACCTCCGTTTGGTTATCGATGACAGACACTCGCAGATACAGAACTTTTATTATACACGTTGGAAAAACTACAACATTACATTACTTTTCGACATAATCGCCATTCAAATTGAGGCGCTTGTCGTAACGTCTTACAAGCTTTGAAATTCCATAGTGGTTGTCGCTCGCCGCCAAATCTGGGCTATAGGCGGGTGATCAAAAACATCCCAACGGAACTGCTTCAAAAGTTCTTGGGTGCGTCTAGCGTTGTGCGGGCGAGCACTACGGTGGACCAACACCACACCGGAAGTCAGCATGCCCCGACTCGTTATGGATGGCTCATCTGAATTTTCGTAAGGTTTCACAGTAGACATCTGAATTGATGGTCGAACCACGTTCCATGAACTTCACTAGCAGTTACTCCTTTGGCATCTTCACATTTGGCGGGATTGTCTATGGCACCACTTCCGGTGTGGTGTTGGTTCACGATAATGTTTGCCCGCACACCGCTAGACGCACCCAAGAACTTTTGAAGCAGTTCCGTTGGGATGTTTTTGATCATCCCCCCCAAAGCTGAGATTGGGCACCGAGCGGCTATTACTAAGGACTTTCAAACCTTGTAAGACGTTACAAGTGCCTCAATTTGAGTGATTATGTCGAAAAGTAATGTAACGTTGTAGTTTTCTACTGTGTATAACATTATTTCTGTTTCTGCGAGGGTCTGCCATTGATAACCAAAAGGAGGTTTATTTCCAAATTGCCCTCGTATTTACAACGGTTTGGGGAGGAAATAACGAATAAAAATTAAGCTTTGGTTTCTAAGCTCCTGCTATGAAAAAGACTATCCTCTTTCACTTAATACGATGCACAACATGTAAAAGCACTGAATCACTTTCACAGGCAGAAACAATTTATGCCACTTACATTATACAAAATACATGGTGACTCCACTCGGGGCAGACATTCCATAAACCTTTTTGATCTGGTAGAGAATGACTCACAGTGACAATATCCTCAAAACTAAGACAGTAATAAAAACTAGTTACTTAGGGTTATTGCATACCGGAATAGAGCTGCCAGTCCCTGTGCTCAGATCAGTTTCTTTCTGTGCACTGTAACTTCCTGAAGGGTTGGAGAACACATACTGAGTGACCACTTTGCTGCCTTCTTGTTGCTCCACAACGTCCAGGCTAGGAAGCAAAGTTTGCTCTGCTTTATTTGGAGCTAATAATTCAGCTGTATTGTTTCCACCAAGGCTGCTGGAAGGGGTTAAAGTGGCCGTGTCTACTGACAGGTTATTGCTAGAAGTCAAACCGTGCAAGTCTTGACTGGAACTTTTTGTTGACAAAGATGCTAATGAGCCTAAGGCTTCTGCATTCACAGTCTGTACCTCATCCAAACTTAAAGTGCTTTGCTGTAAAACGGTGGTGGTGGTTCCCAATAAAAGAGAGCTATCCAGGCTGTGTGGAATGTCACTGCTAGCCACTAAAATCAGTGGGTCAACTGTCTGAGCAAGGGAGCTGCTATTGACAGACAGACTGCCTCCAAGCGTAGAGCCCACTGAAGCAACATCTATGGTAAGGATTCCAGAGTTTATGAGAGCCATATCAGCTGAAATTCCAGAGGAGTTCCCAGATACACTAGAAAAAAGGGACACCAGATCTACATTGCTGAGGTCACTTTGTCCTGAATTGGCAAGTTCGCTGCTAGGTGTGAGGGAACCAATGGTTTCCATCTGATTTAATAGATCTGAAACAAAGCAAAATGTTTTTATAAGGTTACCTAGTTACTATGATAGGTATCCTATAAATCTTGCCTCGTTCCTCTCCCTCCAATTTGGCTACATAGCCTCATTCCAAGAACTTACGTCTTCCATTTCCAATCAAAGCAGCCAACACTATCTTCATTAAATTTGGAAGAAAACAGTACAGGTAGTCCTCAATTTACGACCACAATTGAGCCCAAAATTTATGTTGTTCAGTGAGAACTATGTTAAGTGAGTTTTGCCCCATTTTACAACTTTTCTCGCCACGTCTGTTAAGCGAATCACTGCAGTTCTTAAATTAGTAACACGGTTGTTAAATGAATCTGGTTTCCCCATGACTTTGCTTGTCAGGTCGCAAAAGGGGATCACATGATTCTGGGACACTGCAGCCATCATAAATGTGTGTCAGCTATCAAGCATCCGAATGTAAATCATGTGACCACGGGAGTGCTGTAACAGTCATAAGTGTGAAAAATGGTCATAAGTCACTTTTTTCAGTGCCACTGTAACTTCAAATGGTTACTAAATGAACTGTTAGAAGTTGAGGACTACCTGTAGTGTCAGAACTCAATGCTACTATGCCACGGTAGTGTAATTTTGTTAGGATTTCAGATAATCTCTACTTCTTGTTAACACATATTCAGACTTCCATAATATGCTATGCATCCCTAGCAAAATGGATAGTGCTAGAAGTAATTTTCACACAACTAGCAGTTAAGTGCCAGCAGTATTTATAGAGGATGTGAACGGAGGCATTATGGTGTAAAGCTCTGCTCTGTCCTTAAGTATGAGAGTTGTAATATCTCACTACATATAAAAGGGCAGATCTTTGCAGCATTGTGGCACAAGACCCACTCCTCCTTTATGTGCATTTTACTATTACGCTATGTAAGAAAGACAGAACTTTGGGCAAAACACATCATTTGTCATTCTCAGCTTGCTAATCTTGGCTGAACCATACAGAAAAGCAAGTCACACAGAATACTAGGGTTTCTATATGAATTATTCAGAAGACATTTTCAATAATAAAGAAGGTATTTGTAGTAGCATCAACTGAGAAAACCTTTGAGCAATACCCAAAATGGTTGTTTCACTGCCCACACTTAGGTGACCCATTTATTTTGCATTCAATGTTTATGTTTCTCCTACTATACCCACTTCTTGCTCCCGCTGAACAATGTCATAATCACCTTTGCTTCTTTTGATAGGTATTATTTGAAAGATTACTTAAAACCCTACACTCATATTCCTACCTTTCATAAACATTTTATCTACATTCATTTACTTGCTGTTATTTTTGCCATTTATGTATAGCCTGCCATCGTTCATTCATTTTCTTTGTTAAATATAGCTAACTAATAACTAATTTGGTCTTTGATACATTAATTTTCAGATCCACAATCCTGGTTACCATAAAAATTGCCACAGTAGTGGCAATACTGTCTGCCTATGAAAATACATACATAATATTTCACCAGATAATAGCTCCTGTAACATCACTACAATCTTTTCTTTATTCATTTATCTTTAAATAATCAAGGAGGATCACCCACCCTTGGCTAACTCACTCCTCAATTCTGAACAATCTGCTAAGCATTCCAGTTATCATTACTCATTACATCCAGCAATTAGAATAGAATAGAATAACAGAGTTAGAAGGGACCTTAGAGGTCTTCTAGTCCAAGCCTCTGCTCAGGCAGGAAGCCCTATAAACAACACTATGTTAATATAAAATGTCTTATAGCTCAAAACCATTCATTTTATCATTATGCTTTCTGTAAATCAATAGTAAACATTGTTTTCAACATTTATACATATATCAAGTATCCACAAAAGAACAAATCAGATATATAGACTATAGGTCCCCAACCCCCAGTCTGTGGACCATGCATGCCAGAAACTGGGCCGCACAAACAAGCGAAGCCCCATCCATGGGATGCGGGCAGTATACGAAACCACGCTCCCCTCCAGTCCGTGGAAAAACCTCTCTCCATGGAACTGGTTGGGGACCACTGATATAGACCCAAATAATTAACTTCAGTGAAATGAATAAATCTTTTTTTTTTGCAAGATCTTTAGATATAACACATTCTATACATTATTCAAACCCCAGATAACTCAGTCTTCTAAGGAAGCAAATCATACCTGCACTAAAGTTGTGTTGCTTGACCATATGTGTTTTCATACTATGCTTTGAATTGAATAATTTGCTACAACTGGATACGGGGCAACGCATCTTCAATGAATCCACATCCTGAAGGTGTTTTTTGGAGTGAATATATAGACTACTGCGTGCTGAGAACTTTGCACAACAACCTGAAATATACAACAACTGGATCATCTATATAAATAAAAATGTAAATGTTCGTTTGTTCAAAATCTTAAATCTCCGAAAGTTCTTCACCGATTGATTTGAAATTTTGACACAACATTGCGTTCGAATACGCGTGTTTTTAAATACCTACTATTATATAGATGTCACACCTGTGACAGGTAAAAACATGCTTTTGAAAAACAGCGCCATCCGTTGGACGTAAAAGCAACACACGCTTTTACCAGACTAGCTGTACCCAGCCACAGCAACGCGTGGCTGGGTACAGCTAGTATGAATATAATATACATGTGTAGATTTAAACCCTATTATAAGAGTTTCCTATGAGATTGCAGACAGCACAGTTTTTCATAATCCCTTACTTCTAGACCTCGGTGTTTTGATTCCCCAGATCTTTACTCTTTCAATTTTCAATGATTTATAGATAAAACCTCAGACAGGTGACAAAGCTAAGAAAATGCTAAGGAGATAAACCAGTTTGAATGAGTTGTATACACAGTACTCAGTCTGTCACATCCCTATAGAGGAGCAAGAAGGACAGAGCTAAGCAAATATACTGACAGCAAAAATTACCTTTGAAAGGTGATCTTACAAATCTTAGAACAAAAGCTATAAATGCAATACCAGCTTCAAAAGCTTGTGAGAACAGAGCCAAATTAACTAAAAGAACTGCACTATCCAACTACGGTTGCATTTATCAAGGCAGTGGGAGCTTTAAAGATAATACAGAAATTAAATCTCCATCCTGCCCCCACTCCAATTTTATTTTTCTTTTGTTGGGGGATGTCCATATTCCCTAAAAATGAAAAAGAAGTCTTGAAATTAAATAGTTTTCGAAAGAAAAACGTTCCTTTGGAAGAAAGATTTATTTAGCTCCTTCTTCACAATTAGGTTGTACTTTAAAAGTATTTTCTTTCCTGTCGTGAGATTCAATAGCAATCCTTCAGCCCAGCAATCCTTCTGGCTATATAATATATATAGTTTGGTCTTTTCTACGTATCAATCAATCTATGCAGAAATAGAATCAAGTGTTTGAATAATACCTTCCACAGGGCATTCAAATGGTTTTGTACCAAGGTGAGTTATACTATGGCCTTTCAAATGTTCTGCTCTTGTAAAAGATTTTCCACAACCTTCTACAGAGCATGTGAATCTCCTGTCATCTTCATGTTTCCTACAAGAGTAATTAAATTGACATTAAGATCAAGCACTTCTTGCACAGAACTGAGAAAATCATATACCAATAGATTGAAGTCTGATACGTTTTTAAAGCCTATTACTAGACTTACTCCAAAAATGTTTTAGCTAAGCAGACTGCCTTCGCTCAACTTAAACAAAGTCTATTTATGTTAAGAGCATTTATTCAAGTTCATTTTCTATTACTGAACTTATAACTCTTCAAACTTAAACTGCAGTTTCTTTAAATACAATGTATACAATATTTGTTTAGCAATGATTTTCAGTATAATCAGTTGGAACATTTACCTTTTATGTCTTAATAGCTTAGACATGCTGGTGAAAGACCAGCCACAGCCTTCAAAGTCACAAATGAAAGGTCTTTCTCCTGAAAAAAAAAAGGCATACAAAAATTGCATATACAAAGACTAACACATTTGTTTTCAAAAATTCCTAATCTGGTTAGCAATTATATTCATTAACTTCTTTACATTGATGATTTTACCAATCAAATTCTTTACAACATACAGTTAAATCCTTGTCTATAAACAGGTTATCAGCTTTTAAGGATAGCATCTATCCAATCAACATATTGTTCTTTAAGCCAACCAAACGCAAACTTTAACAGTACCCTAGTTCACACCTGTGTGACTTCTCATGTGGATTTTCAGCCGGCAAGCTTTGTCATACTGCTTGTTACAGCCTGGGAAGGAGCAGGAAAACATTTCTTGTTCCCTGAAGTGGACTCGATTATGAGAAAATAATGCACTCACTGTTATGAAAGTCCTCTCACAACCTGGAGAAAAAA